CCAAATTCTGGAGGGAAAGAAGAAAAAAGTGGCAAAGCATAAAGGACTAGACCTTACATAATATAATGTAGGTTCCAAGTACAACTATTATAAAATGCAGTTGTTACTTCATTTCCGCACACTGCAACATTGACATCGGATAATAGAGATCAAAGAGAAACCACAAGTGAACACTCAAAGAGCTTGAGGATAGGAAGAAAAACACTCTTCAATAAACCAAGTTTAAAAGTAATTCTTAATTTCTGAATCATTCATTTTCGTACATGTGTAGGGATTTTAAATAGTCGACACATGGAACAACCTTCCATGAATAGGTTAACTACCTTTATTAAAGTTCATACATGAACCATGACTTAAAACTATGCATGAACTTAATTTAATACTAATCATGACCTAAATGAAAATATGAACCATCTTTGAATTAAATATGATGATGCACCATGTAATAATTTGGACGAGTCCAAATTTGATGTCATACGCTTCTACTGCTCGATAACTCGTCCCCAAGTTTTGTTTAGTCTTCCTCGATCTTTCAGATGTCCAACTAAGATTTTCCACTTCATCCAAATTTAACACTAATAAATTTGTTTAGTCTTCCAAATATTGCTAGTTTTTTCATATTAACAGATATCAACTTAAGCTTAATTAACAAAGAAGAATAATTAAACACATTTCATCATTATTTTCTTCAGTTATATGAAACACAACAATAACCATGATTTTCTTTCATTGTTGGAATGCTTAACAAGAAGGAACGATATATAAGACGACGACAGGAACTGAGAATGTCTAACAAATAACAGCTCTACAAACTCAACCGAACAGCAAAACTGTAACATCCCGTTCCAGGATTTACGTAAGAAAATGAGTATTTTTGTATTTTTACTAAGTTTGGAGGGTACCTTTCCTTTTAAAATTGTTTTTGAGCCTTAATTGGTGAGCCCAAGGGGCCCACCCTGTTTTGTTCCCGGTTCCCTATCCCTTTCCCTTTTCCTTTTTTCTGAAAGTCTCTCTTCTCTCTTCTCTCTTTCTTCCTCTGTGATTTCTCCATCCCCCCCTCTCGGTCCGACAAGAACACACACACACACACACCCAAGCCCACACCTATAGCTCTTTTCGAACCCCATGGTTGTGTTTTGGACGTCAAACCACGAAGAAACCACCTCGGAGACATTTCCCAGTTTTCCGGCGAGCACCGTCCCTTTCGAGGCGATTTCCGGCCAAACCACGGCGAGTTGGCCGGCATGCAAGGTATCAATCTCTTCGTCTCGCTGAGTACTACAACTTTCCTTTTTGTTTCACCCAATTTCATTGAGTATTGAAGAAGTTATGCTCATTTGAATCTTACCCAGTTTCCGGCGGACACCCGTGGCTTCCAGGCTGTTTTCCGGCCAACTCCGGCCACAATGACGGGAACCAAGGGTATATTTCGATTCCTTACCTTCGGGGCTTCAATTTGGTATATTGAATGACATGTTTTGGTTAAGTTTTGAGCTCCAACGGAGCTTGGGAATTCTCCGGCCGAAGTCCGGCCTTCTCCCTCCTTGGAAATCCGGCGAACTCCAAACCCAAGGCCTTTGGGCCTTTCCTGCCAAGCCCAAACCCATTACCCTTTTTAATTTTGCCATTGGGCCGTGAGGTTTCCAACCCAAACCCATTTTCCTTCTAGCCCAAACCCAACCCACCTAAAACCTAACCCAATTACCTAAACCCATTTACTCTAACCCAAAACCCAATTACCCTAGCCCAAAACCATAACCTAAGACCCATGACCCTGACCCGTGACCCGTGATCCATGACCCGTGACCCGTTGACCCGTGACCAGTGACCCGTTGACCGTTGACCCGGTCAACGGTCAGCGTTGACTTTGACCTCGGGGTTGACTTTTTCGGTTTTCGTGCGGGACCCCCCCTAGGCTAATTTCGACGTCCTGAACCCGTTTCCGATGTCCGTTTTCCCAAATTCAATCGTTTGAGTAGAGTTTGACTAAATATACCATTTATGTGCTTAGGGGCAATTATCGATGGCGTTTCCTTCTTCGCTAGATGACGTGGCTTTTCGACGGCGAAGTACTGTGAGTGGACCCCTTCTAAAAATGCATGTTTTAATGGTAGAATTGCATACACAGAAAAGCATGACTTTACGATTATGTTTTATGAAACGTTTTGAGATAACATGCTTACTGAGGCTAGTTTGAATTATTACTATTTTTCCTATAACCCATGTTCTTGTAGAATATCTGATGGATGACGATATGATATTTAGAACATGTTTAGAACACCTCTTTATAGTATAGATGATGGATGACTTTATACTATGAAGTTGATTTTCAATATATGTATGTTCACTGGTTTTGTACTTACCTAGTGGTCCTTTCCGCTACGGGACGTAGGGATAGATCCGGTCCGTCCCGGGCGACGGTTTGGTGTTGGCATAGGGCCTGGAGTGTGTTTTCCTCTGACTGTCTGCTCAGAGACGGGGAGCCGGCACGGGGCCTGAAGTGTATTTTCCTCTGACTACGTGCTCAGAGACGGGGAGTCGGCATGGGGCCTGAAGTGTTATATCGGACATTCACTAGTGTTTATTATTTATGCGAATTATGATTTGAGACATTGCACGACATGCTAGGTTTCGGAAAACCTATGTTTATCATTATATATAGGTGTTTTCATAAAACCTGGGGGTTAGTATGTTGATAACTGTTTTATTATATATATATCAACTTGGTCCACTCATGTTTGTTTTGCGCCCCCTTCAGGACTTAGAATCGAGGCATACAATCCCGACGTCCAGGCACTTCCGCATCAGCATCTTCGAGTCCTCTCGGTGTAGGACCCACTTCTTTGTTTCATTCAATTTTATATTATTTTTCTTTTAGTGTTCTAGATTAGTGGTGTGCTCTGAACACGGTCCTTAATTACATATTCATTATTCTTTTATATTTATAAACCTTATTTATCCCTTGTTTTCAGCATTTGTACTCAATAAATGGCTTTCGTCACCCTCGGGTGTCGGCCAGCACGTGCCTACCCTGGTATTCGGGGAATATCGGGGTCGGGGCGTGTCAAAAACTCCTACTCACATTTCTCACAAAAAAGAGAGAAGAAATTAGGGTCCAATATCTCCATCCATGAGATGAGAATTCTAGAGGGAAAGAAGAAAGATGTGGCAAAATAGAAAGGACTAGGCCCTACATTAATATGTTGCAGGTTTCAAGTAGAACTGTTATATATTGCACTTAGTTACTTCATTTCCGCAAACTGCAACATCGAAAATGGTTGAACTTGAGCATTGACAAAAAAAGTTGAAGACCAAACGTAAACATTTACAGTCTCCACCGAGAAATATGGCAAGGCTTGAAAACACTATGAAACCATCATATTTCCAAGAGCTCAAGGAAAGATGCGGATGATCTTTGATTTCTTCCCCAAGACTTGAGCAAATTGTTGTGAAGTCTGTTTGGGTGAAGATTTCTCTGGAGAAGGCTTCTTAGACCTCAGCATAGCTCCCTAAAGGATTGGCACTTTGGAGGTGTAGTCGGGCTCTTGCTTGTTGATGTGCTATAAGAAGAGGACAAAGTTAGTTCTGAAAGGTGCCTTTGTGGGGCCTTAGGTGTAGGCCTTGAGACTCGCAATCAAAACTAACTGAGTGCTAGGTATGCCACTGCTATCTCAGTATAGAAGATGTAGAACAAGTGTGTTTTAAGTCGATTACTTGCGCCCCAAGTTACTCGGACTCCTTGTTATCAAAGGATTGTCGTGGATGGATTAAGTCCACATTAAGTTCTTTTTCTTGCCTTGTAAATAAGGACTTTTAGTTCATAGTCTTGTATGTTCGAATGAAGGGAGTCCAGATCCCCTTAAGTCATTTACTTGGTTCTTGATTGATTTTAATGATAACATATCTATTAAACTAACCAGATCCAAATGCAAATGGAACTCTTAAAATAGGAAAACTGATGGAAATAGCTTGAATACATACATGAAAATGCATTAAGTAATAGATCTACAACTTTAGATAACAAGCAAAAAGCTTCGAGCAAGATTTCACCTTGTATGGCAAGGTTGAACCTCTTGCAATCGCTTCTCTTTGAATTAATAGGGGTTTATATGCTAAAAAGGGATGGATGATAAACAAGTTTACACAAGGGAATCGATATTACGCCACTAAGGGAGATAGCAAAGCTTTAAACTGAACAAGAGATAGCTTGTCGCTAAAAAGGACTGAATCTGGGTTGATATTAGGTTTTGGATGCAAATCTGGCTTTAGAGCAGAGTTTGTATGTTTGTTTGTTTGATTGGTTGAGTGTCCTTGTCTATGGGGCCTCTTCCTCCTTTTATAGGCAGATTAGCCCGATTGCTATAACTTTGTTCTTACCCGAAAGCACTTGAAAGGTAGTGAGTCATCAGTTTTTTACTTGTAATGCCACTGAAAAGTGTTCTTTGGCTGGTAGTAGGTTAGTCTTTATCACTTGTCACTTCAATGGCAAGCACGTGGCTTGTATTTTGGCTGAGAAGGCTTCAATTTGCTTATGGGCTTAGTGTTAGGCTTCAGGCAAGTCTCCTTTAATCAGGTATTCTTGGGCTTTTCTTCATCGAAGTCCAATGTTCAAATATTAACTCAAACAAAGTCATTCAAAGTTACGACACAGGTTTTGTACAACGCCACACACATATTTTAGTTTTATCTAATTCCGAAACTCTAGGAGCCATATTTTCTACATCGTTTCGCATACATTAAGAACATAGATGATTTTCTCTACCATTGGTTTTAGTTTCATGATCCAATGGTACTGCTTAGGGATTCTTTCAATGAATTTATATTTGTTAAAGGAAGCTGCTTTATTTTGGGCGCCAGAGCAAGTCAACAAGCAATTAGGTAGAGGGAGAAAAGGTGTGGTTGTGCATTTGAATTACATGAAGATATGGCTACTAAACACTACTTAAGTTGCAATGAAATTATATATTGCCTAGCCCCCAATGGGCAGGTAGCAAATCACCTTGTGAAATCAGAAAATGAATTTTTAAATTTAAAAATCAGGAAATTCAGTACAGTACTAATAACTGCAACGAGTAGTGAGATAATGGTTTACTGAAATGAATTCTGAGAAAAGCATTTTACCCTTCCAAGCACTGTTTGGAGAAACCGGATGATTTAATAGGCACAAGACGATCAGTCATATTTCAATCTTTTGTTAACCGATTCCTTAGTAGAGATTGATGAGCTCCCACTTGATCCCGCGCCATCAAAATGTTCAGTTGTTCGCTTCATATGGATGGCACTCTCTGCATTTGCTGATTCGGGGAGAGCACAATGAGGGTCTTCCATAGGCTCATAAAGAGAAATGCTATTGTAGGAGTTGTCGTCGTCTTCTGCTTTCACCAAGCGCACCCCACACTTCTTCAGCTTCAAGCATTTGTTGGTTTCTGGCCCCGAACAAAAGGTCTTGAATGAAAACTCAATTTGATGGAAACCTCCCTTCCAATAATTCCTAGGATCATAGCCTTTAAAAGAAAGATAGAGTAACCAAAGGTGATCTGACTGAATTTGGCCGGCTTTATGATAATAAACCCCTTTCACAAGCAAAGACGTTTTGCCACTCATCGATCCAGTTACTGTCGAAAGACATTTAATTCCACATGCATGACATTCTAAAGAATCAATTTCAAGGGCAGCTGGATTTTCTTGTGGTGCAAAAACAGCACATAAAGCAAATCCCATCAACTTGCTTCTAGTTGGATGTACATCATCAGGCAGCGTCACAATTATTGAATCTCCCGCTCTTTGAATATTGAACCACTCTGGCATTTCACTTCCAGGAGTTACAATATTGAAACTGTGAATGACGAAAGGAGGGGTTCCCTGTAGCATATATAGGAACAATTATATCAGGAAAAACAACTTTTAGAAAGATAAATGGAGAGCGAGCGAGCGAGACAGTACCTGAAGGAATTGCTGTAACATCGAAAATATCATGTTATTCCTCGCTTTATTGCCAACCAATCTGTAGCAATTAACTGCTCTGAAAAAAAACCACCTCAATCTACTTATATTTGGTGGATGCGGCAGCACTTTTAAGCAAGTACAATCATCAGTTGTTACAGTTAATTCTTCATTTGATGGGAGGTCTGGTAATTCTTGAAGACTTTTGCAACTGTCCAAGTTCAAAAACTTGAGACTATCAAGCCACCTAATGCTTGCAGGAAGGCTAACGAAGTCATTACCCCGAAGAACCAAGTCCTCTAAAGAGGGCAAACAACCGATATAATCTGGGATTGCTCCTTCACAAAGACTGCAGTCACTTAGATCTAATTTACTCAAAGAATACAAATAATCTAAAGAAGTCAAAGCAAAACCCATGGGGTCAGGGTTTTTTGTTGGAAATAAGCCAAAATGGAGGAACTGAATGCCATGATTTAAGCGGTGGACCTTTACATCCACGTAGAGATAGTACTTTGAGGCTCTTCATAAGAAAGAGAGATAACGGTGGCTCTCTTATTGCAGTTCCACTCAAATCAAGCTCCTCCAAACACTCAATTTTCTCCCAATTTTCCGGAATTGTCTCAAGTTTTGAGCATCCGGACACGTTTAGATTTTTAAGAGACTTCAGACTACAAATGGCAGTAGGAAGACATAACAGACTTTTACAATCTTTGAGATCCAACAAAATCAGCCCAATTAGGTGATCAATCGAAGAAGGCACATCCTGAATAGCAGTCCCATCTAAAGAAAGAGTTGATAACTTTTTCATGTTTCCCACAAATTCAGGAACCCTTTTCAGTTTTGAGCAGCCAGAAAGAACAAGAACTTCAAGAGATTCCATTTCTAGAGCACTTGGAAGACTCTTAATACCATTACAGTTTCTAAAATTCAAAATTTTAAGCCTTTTAAGAACTGCAATGGATGGGTGAATCTCAACTAAATTCGTACAAGATTCAAGCACCAGCCTTTCAAGATTCTGAATACCTGTAAAATCTGGGGTCGCAGTCAAGTTTTGAGAGTGACTAAGATCGATATATTTCAAGCAGGACATGTTCTGTAGATAATATAAAAAGATGACACAATCATTAGCTGGTAAGATATAAATAAACAAAAAACATAAAATGTATAACGTCTTTTATTCAATTCTCTAACCTTCATTCCACTCCAAAGCCGATCAATTTTGCTATGATGCAAACTAAGTTCAGAAACTTCGGCTGGTTGAAAATTTTGAGGAAGAGATTCTGAAGGATACCAACTCCAGTCAATAAATCTCAAGGCGTTGGAAAGATATTTGGGGCCAACAGAAAGGCTCAAATTATGAAGTTGGAGAAACTTTAGATTACATATCTTAGAAAAGCTTTCAGGATTCCACTGAGCCTGTTCTAATTCAGGCAAGCGTAAGGCAATGCCTTCAATTGCTTCTGTTCCCTAATAAACAAGAAGAAAGGGAATGTTAATTTCATAAGCAAGTTTTATACATATTCAAATTAATTTGGCTGCTATACAGAACGCATATTTCTCTTACTTACCGTATCCTTCATGAATATGTGAAAGATTTCATTATGAAGCCACAACCTACTATGTCGACCAGGCTCTTGATAGGATTCTTGTCGAACAATTTTCCATCCCATTTCTTGTGTCAAATCATGCATCACCACATACCCATCCAAAATACTTAAAAGAGATTTCTCAATGAGAACATTCTATCACAATACGAGCACAAAAGCCACAATTTTCTAGTATTTCAATTACTCGCTCCTTGTCATTCCCAGTATGAAAACATGCAACATCAAGAAAAACTTTCTTCTCCATCTCATCAAGGCCATCATAGCTTATTTTCAGAGTTTCAAAAATTACTGCGTTAGGAGCTTTCTTTACTTTATCCAACGCACTATTCCAAGCATCTTGGCCTCTTTTATACAAAGAAGATCCCAAAATCTTAAGTGCTAATGGATGGCCTCCAGCATAATCTACAAAACACTTCGATAGTTCCACATAATCATCATCTGGCTGATCTGTTTTGAAGGCTTTCAAACTAAAGAGATGAAGAGATTGATCATCATTTAGTCCCAAAACCTCATATGTTTTATCTATACCATGCTCGATTAACAAACGCTTATTTCTTGTTGTAACAATGATTCTGCTTCCCGGACCAAACCAATCCGTCTTTCCCGCCAATATTTCTAGTTGGTTTAGTTCATCAACATCATCAAGAATGAGAAGAACCTTTTTGTTAGATAAAAGGTTCTTTGTCATAGCACTTCCACTATAAACATCCCAAACTTGTGTAGTTTTTTCCTTCAAAATCAGGGAAAGAAGTTGATCTTGTAGATGAGCTAAACCAGATTTCGAAGAACGCTCTCTGATATTAGCAAGAAAGCTACTAACTTGAAACTTATGGGAAATTCTCTCATAAACTAGTCTAGCAAGGGTTGTCTTACCCATCCCGCCCATGCCCCATATCCCTATAAAGCGAACATCATTTGCACGAACAAATAAAAGCATATCTATATATTTCAATCTGAAATCAATTCCGACTAAGTTCTCTGTTGAACCTGAGAGTGTGTATGTAGAATGCACCTTTTTCCATATGGCTTCGACTACCTCTTTAATAAGCTCTGTTTCATACCTACAAGAAATTAAAGTAAAAATAAAAAATAAAAAATAAAAAATAAATAAAAAGGTAAAAGGAACACAACATCCGAGTATATATTGCTCATGTTAACTTTGCTTACCGATCGTTTGAAGTCCACCCTGCGAGATTACTCACGTTCGTTAAAGAAGCTCGCCACTGATCCACCAGCCGCATGTTTTCCTTATGCTCTTTTTCATGCTTTGTGAAAGCTTCAGCAAAAGTCCCCCTTTGATGTCGTACGTCAGAGGGATCAACATTGTAAAAGATTGGCAGAATTGTCCCCCTCTTTGTCATGCATTGGAAAATCATTGCGAGTTCACTTAAGCACCAAGTTGAAGAGGCATAGTTTGGCGAAAGAACAACAATAGCAAACTGAGATTCTTTGATTGCACTACGAAGCTCAGGAGAGATAAATGTCCCTCTTTCAAGTCCTTGGTCGTCCTTGAAAGTTTTGATTGCACGCCACTGTAATTTATCATAGAGATGGTCTGTGAAACCCTTTCGGGTGTCTTCACCCCTGAAACTTAAAAACACAGTCATATTTCCATCTGCGAGCTGTAGGAGCAGATGCGGAGGCGCTTCCATCGAGCAGCTCCCTTTGAAACCGGGAACGGTCCCACCTCTCCATTCTTTCCTCCAAGAAATTCATTGATGAGTTACTGACAACTTCTTTTTCGTTTTTTCTTTAAACGAAGAAACACCAAAACAACCAACAAAAAACAGGAAGGTAGAGAGAGGCTAGCTTCGTGTCAGAAACAAGGGAACTTCCAGTTGGTCTAGGTGTGTTGGGTGAAACTGAAATAGGAGAGAAAGAGGCTCTTTTGACTTTTTTAGTCAGATTGGACAGATTCAATGCTCCAAAGCACATCACATGCTGCCAATTATCTTTTCTTCTTTAATTTATTTATTTTTGTTGGATAGTTGACTTCATTTGGTTGAACAGATTCATTGTTATCAATGAATAAAATATGTGTACTCTTTAGCCCTTAATTCGTTGAATACAAATTTTAACATTTTTACCATCAATCCAAGGATAAAACTAAAATGCATTAGGTTTACTGAGATTCCGAGATGGCCATCAGGGAAAGAACGATTCACTCCATAGGATCATAACATACGAACTTACAAGAACAAAAGATTCCGAATAGATACAGAGACATGTCCCTTCTTTTAATCTTTTCCGGATTGCTTCCTTCCTTGTCGAAGTTACTACTTCTGCTCGATCCTGCCTCATTCCTGGATTTTTATGTTCACTTAACAGAGGCAGCTTGTATGTTTGCTGATACGTCAAAAATCACAATGTGGAATGTGCACATCCTCGTGAAGAGAATTGTTGTTGTTGGACAGGTTCATTGTTCTGTTGAGGTCTTCCGCATCTTGCTCGTACACTGAACGGACTCCACATTTCTTCACCTTCAAGCATTTCTTGTTTCCAACAGCACGTCTGGTTTTGAAACCAAACTTAATCTGACAGCGTTTCTCCTCCAAAAAATTATAGTGCTGCCTAGACAAAAGGACTAACAACAGGTGATCTGATACAACCTGGTCTAGACGATTATAAAAAGACACACCCTCAAACTGAGAACCAGGAATTTTCCATTGACAACAAATTTCGTTTGCATAATTTTGCAAATAATCTACTTCACGAACAACAGCTGGATTCTCGTGAGATACAAAAACAGCACACAAAGCAAACCCCATCCACTCGCTATTACCGGCATGCAAAGGTAGCTTTTCAGTTAGTGAGTGTCCAACACTTTGATTAGTGAACCACTCAGGGATTTCACTTCCAGGAATTATAATACTAAAACGGTCAACAAAATGAGGGATTTCCTGTACGATTCAAATTAACCACCATATCACACAACTATGGAGGAAGATAAAGAGAGGTAGAGAGAGAGAGAGAGAGAGAGAGTACCTGTAGGAATCGCTTTAGCATTGAATATATAATATTGTTCGAACCTTGATAACCAACTAGTCTCAAGCAATTGACAGAAGAGAAGACAAACCGGCGTAATCTGCACAGCTCTGGTGGACCTGGCAACATTTGTAAGGAAGTACAATTGTCCGTTTTTAAATATATTCTGTTGTTTAACGGAAGGTCTGGTAATTGTTGAAGCCTTTTGCAGTTGTTCAAGTTGAAAAAACTAAGCTTAGAAAGACAACCAATGCTTGTGGGAAGGCTAACAAAATTGTTTCCTCCAAGATTTAATTCTTTTAAAGAGGACAAACAGCCAATATCTTCAGGAAGGGCTCCTTCACAAAGGTTGCAGTCACTTAGATCTAGTTTCTTTAAAGAACGGAAATCTTTTAAAGAAGCTAACACCAGATTCACGGGGCTAAGACTCTTCTGTGGGAATAAGCCTGAAGGGAGGAATGAGAACCGTGGCTGAGGTGGTTGACCATTACATCCATGAAAGGATGATAGGTCGAGATTTTTCATAGGACCGATCGAGGAAACTGGCTCTCTTATAGAAATTCCCGTTAAATCAAGTTCTTCTAAACTCCCAATCAAACCTTTAAATGATAACGGCAGTTCCTCAACAGCAGTCCCACCTAAATAAAGCTTTGATACATTTTTCATCTGTCCACTGAATTCTGGAATCTTCTTAACTTTTGAGCAGCCAGAAATATCAAATACTTCAAGAGTTTCCATCTCTACTTCACTTGGTAGAATCTTAATACTTTTGCAGTTTCTAAAATTCAAAATTCTGAGACATTTGAGAGATGCAATGGATGGATGAATCTCAACTAAATTTGTGCAGCCTTCAAGAACTAGCTTCTCAAGATTTTGAAGACCCGTGAAATCTGGAGTCCTTGTCAAGTTCTGCGAGTAGCTAAGATCAATAGATTTCAACTTTCTGAAGTACTGCACAAAACATGAAAAAGGTAGAGATCACCGTCCAAAAAGCCTTACAAAGTATTCGAACCAAAAAGATAAAAAATTGCTGAATGAATACTATTCTATACATATATTTACCTTTATTCCATTCCAAAGGCAATCAATTTTGCTATGGGGCAAACTAAGTTCAGTCAGTTGATCCGGTTGAAAACCTGGCGGCAGAAATTTGGAGGGATACCATCTCCATTTGAGAAATCTCAAGGCATTAGGAAGATATTTGGGGCCAACAGAAAGTCTCAAATTATCAATGTCAAGCAACTTTAAATTACACATCTTAGAGAAGGCTTCAGGATTCCAGTGTGCCTCTTCAAATTCACGCAAGCGTAAGACAATGCCTTCAATTGCTTTTGTTCCCTAATAAACAGGAATGAAGGAAAAGTTAATTCCACTAGTCTCATAGTACTGTGTAACATTAAGGTTTTATACTGCTATCCAAACTTTATATTTACAAATAACTTCTTACCGTATTCTTTGTGAGCACATGAAATATGTCATCACGAAGCCACAAACGACTTCGTGCACCAGGCTCTTCAAAAGACTCACGTCGAACAATCTCCCATGCCATTTCTTGTATCAAATCGTGCATACAGACACTCTTGCCAGAAATAGTTAAGAGAGACTTCTCAACAAGAACATCTATCACAATACGAGCGCAAAATCCACAACTGTCTAGTACTTCAATTACTCGCTCTTTGTCAGACCACTTATGGAAACATGCAATATCAAGGAAAATTCTCTTCTCCATCTCATCTAGTCCATCATAACTTATTTTTAGCGTTTCAAAAACTGTTAAATTAGGAGTTTGCTTCAGTTTGTTCAATGCACTACTCCATGCATCTGGATCTCTTTTATACAAAAAAGACCCCAAAGTTCTAAGAGCTAATGGAAGACCTCCAGCATACTTAACGAACTGCTTAGAGAGCTCCAAATATTTTTCCTGAGGCTCATCTTCTTTGAATGCTTTCCAATTAAAGAGCTGATAAGCTTCATCCTCGTCTAATTCTACAACTTGATATTGTTTCTCTATGCCATGTGCGACCAGCAAATGTCGATCTCTAGTGGTAACAATGATTCTGCTCTCTAAACCGAACCAGTATTTTTCTCCAACCAACTTTTCTAGTTGGTTTAATTGATCTACATCATCAAGAATGAGAAGAACCTTTTTGTTACACAAAAAACTCTTTGCCATAGAAATCCCGCTATAAACATCCCAAACTTGTACGTCCTTATCTTTCAAGATTTGTGAAAGCAGTTGCTTTTGTAGATGTACTAAACCATGTTTTGCATAAATTTCTCTGACGTTAGCAAGAAAGATGCTAACTTCAAAGTTATGAGAGAATTTTTCATAAACAAGTCTAGCAAGGGTTGTCTTACCAATCCCTCCCATCCCCCATATCCCTATAAAGCAAACATGATTTTCCGCTATATCCAAAAGCAAACATATTTCCTTTAATCTAAATTCAATTCCGACCAACTTCTCCGAAGAATCTAACAGTGTCAATGTAGGATGAACTTTGTTCCACACTACTTCCACAATTTCTTTGATAAGTTCTGTTTCGTACCTGTAATCCTTTGACGTCCACCCTGCAAGATTAGCCACCTTTGTTAAAGCATCTCTCCACCCTTGCACCTTCTCTATGTCTTCCCTGAACTTCTCCTCATGTTTAATGAAGGCCTCAGCGAAACTCCCCTTTTGATGTCGGACATCCGAGGGATCAACATCGTAAAAAACTGGCAGGATGGTCTCACTCTCATCCATGGACTGAAGAATCTTTGTCAGTTCAAGCAAGCACCATGTGGAAGCAGCATAGTTTGGCGAAATAACAACAATCGCAAACCGTGATTGTTGAATTGCCATAAGAAGCTCAGGATGAATACTAGTTCCTCTTTGAAGTTCTGGGTCGTCCCTGAAAGTTTTGATTGCACGCCACTTCAATTTGTCGTAGAGATGGTCTGTAAAACCCTTGCGGGTGTCTTCACCCCTGAAACTCAAAAACACATCGTATTTCCATCGACGAGCTGACGGAGCAGATGCGGAGGCGCTTCCAACGGTCAACTCCTCCAAGAAGGTCATTAATGACAAGCAGTTTTTCACTTCTTTTTTCTTTTCTCAATCTCTAAACCAATCAAGAAAGAAAAATGAGAGAAGGCGAGATAAATGGAGGAATCCTGACAAGTTGACAACTTGCAGTTTTTTTCGCGTTACTTTCAATGAATTTCCCTCTTATCTTACACCTCGGAATTACTTTATCTCTTCCTATCTATTCAGTTTTACACTGTTGCAGTTGGCTAGTTGCCACCAATTTGTTTCTTTCTATATTGTAAGAGCATGTTCAAGGAAATGAGGTATAAATTAATTAAGACAAAGTTCGACATTGACAACCTTAGTTGCCACCAATTCGAATTGGAATTTTGTATTGGCACTTGTATTGGAATTTTGCACTGGCTGGCATTGGAATTTTACACTAGCATTGGAATCTTGCACTGGCACTTTGGAATCTTGCACTTGCATCAATGGAATTTCGTATTGGAGTTGGCATTAGAAATTAGCATAATTGAGCTTACATCCAGATCTAGTGCCAAACTCATATCATGAACCGTCATGAGTGGGGGTGTTAGAAAATATTAGTCTTAGGTTTATTTTAATGTTTGATTTTTTGGGCCTAGTTAATGTTGATTTTTTTGGGCCTAGCCCTTTAGTATTAGAGTTTCGTTTTCGGGCCTATTAGGGTTATGCCAATTTTCTATATATATGACATCTTGTAACTCTATAAAAGAATAAGTTAGTTACGATGTAGTCTCTTTGGGTTATGTAGCCATCTTGGCATCTTTTTTTTTATTATATTCTTATTATTTGGTAGTTTTGTTCGTAGCACACTTTGATATTCAATTTATTCATGTTCAGTTTTGAGTTTTGACTAATAATGTCATTAACTCTGGATTTTGCAAGGCGAGACTTATTCGTCATTAGTTTTGAGTTTGTTTATTTGTTTGTATTTTTTTTTCCCTTCTTCTCCTATAACTTCAACATAATGGGATTCTATTGCTAGTGCCAAAACTCGGACGGAGTTTAGGCACGGGGTCCCACATGCATTTGCCTAAAGCTTTGTTTTCGATTTCAGTGTCACGAGATGGCTCGAGAGAAAGAGATAATAGGCGTGCCACTGCTGGAGGTTGCCAACATACAGTGTTTGTGTTTGAGTATGTGCGAAGGTTGCGTGTTAATATGACTTCTAAACCAAAATATTGTGCATTGAGTGGGGGACGCTGGTTGTGTTAAGTTCTTTTTGTGCCTCTAGCAAACGACGACTTAATATTCAGTGTAGCTTCATGTATGTTTGCCTACAAAGTAAATAAAGATGAAATAGAAACTTAAACAAGAAACAGAATGTAATTATTTCATGATGGAGTCAAGTTACAAACGTTCACAAAAGTAAAATCTAGGCCGATGGGCCGAGCTATATAGCTTGAAATGTAAAGTGATGGGAAATGTAATGAAATCAATAAAACTCTAGCAAGATTCAAGTCATGAAGGGCAAAATAATGCTAGAAGAGTCCACCGAGATCACTGGTGTTAGATTGGACTTAGTGCAAAACGCGTGCCTCAAGGAAATCAAGTGGTTGGAATTGCACATCAAACAAATCATACCACGAAGTGGCAAATCAAGCAGTAAAATTTTAAGATCTCATGGATTGTTTGCAATTAGGCTTGTGCTAAAAAGAAGTTGGGTTGATTGATTCAAGGTATTGTGTAATCGTAGAGATTGAATTTGACGAAGGTCATCAGCTTGAAGGTCCCTGGTTCTATTTATAGACAATGGAGAAGGAGCAACCTCACTCATATCATTAAGTTGAAACATGGGTAGGTCGTTCATGTGGTACTAACAGTGACTGTAATTCCTAGTAGGTGGCCTTCAACTATGTCTTGAGGCAGTTAGACAATCGCGGTAGTGACCTCAGCGTGTCAGATGATGTGTACGTATGCATTTAAGTGGACAAGATATTCCAGTCTTTGGTCGTTTGCCTCGTAAACACGCTTATGAGAGACTTCTATCCAATGCTTTGGACAAGTTGGGGCAAAATGAAATGATCGTCTGAACGTAGTTTCAATTTAGAAATTGGTGGATCGAAGTTATGTAACTTTTGTGTAAATAAAAATAAATAAAGCCCATAGCAGGCTTTATTTTTATTTATAATCCAAACATGTATTGTATTATGTACGGTTAATAATGTATGACTAGTTTGCTGTAGTGTGTGAGATAGTTGCCTTCTTTTATTTTTCATTGATAACAATGAATTTGTTCAACCAAAAGAAGTCAACTTTCCCCAAAAAATAGAAAATAAATAAAAATTTTGGCTGCACGTGCAGCGTTGAATCTGTTTAATCTGACTGACGAAAGTCCTCTCTCCTATTTCAGTTTCACCTACCACACCAAAGACAAAGTGGAACTTCCCTTGTTCTATTAACTCCTGCATTTATCTCTATTCTTTTGTTGATTGGTTTGAATTTTTTTGTTTAAAAAAAAAAAAAAAGAAAAAAAAGAAAAGAAGAACGTGGAAAACTGCTTGTAGTAATGAACTTCTTGGAGGAGGAGATGGAGGAGAGGGATTGGTTCCCTTTTCAAAGGAGGATAAATGTCCCTTCAGTCCGTCAATGGAAATATAATGTGTTTCAGAGTTTCAGGGGTGAAGACACCCGCAAGGGTTTCACAGACCATCTCTATGATAAATTACAGTGGCGTGCAATCAAATCTTTCAAGGACGACCGAGGACTTGAAAGAGGGACATTTAACTCTCCTGAGCTTCGTAGTGTAATCAAAGTATCTCAGTATGCTATCGTTGTTCTTTCACCAAACTATGCCTCTTCAACTTGGTGCTTAGATGAACTTGCAGTGATTTTCCAATGCATCGCAAAGAGGGAGATAATTCTACCAATCTTTTACAATGTTGATCCCTCTGACGTACGACATCAAAGGGGGGCTTTTGCTGAAGCTTTCGCAAAGCATGAAAAAGACATTATTAACATACGCCAATGGAAGCTGGATCGGTGGAGAGCTGCTTTAATGGAAGTGAGTAATCTCGCAAGGTGGACTTCAAACAATAGGTAAGCAATAGGTAAGCAAAGTTACCATGATCAATATATACTCGGGTGTCGTGTTCCTTGAACCTCCTTTGGTGACTTTTTTTTTTACTTGAATTTCTTGTAGGTACGAAACAGAGCTTATTAAAGAGGTTGTCGAAGTCGTATGGAAAAAGGTGCATCCTACATACACACTCTCAGGTTCAACAAAGAACTTAGTCGGAATTGATTTTAGATTGAAATATATAGATATGCTTTTATTTGTTTGTGCAAATGATGTTCGCTTTATAGGGATATGGGGGATGGGCGGGATGGGTAAGACAACCCTTGTTAGACTAGTTTATGATAGAATTTCCCATGAGTTTCAAGTTAGCAGCTTTCTTGCCAATATTAGAGAGCATTCCTCGAGATTTGGTTTATCTCATCTACAAACCAACTTATTTCCTTGGTTTTGAAGGAGAAAACTACACAAGTCTGGGATGTTTATAGTGAAAGTGCTATGACAAAGAAACTTTTATCTAATAAAAAGGTTCTTCTCATTCTTCTTGATGTTGATCAATTAACCCAACTTGAAATATTGGCTGGAAAGATAGGTTGGTTTGGTCGGGGAAGCAGAATCATCGTTACAGCAAGAGATGAGGATTTGCTAATCGAGCATGGTATACATAAAATATATGAGGTTTTGGGAGTAAATGTTGATCAAGCTCTTCATCTCTTTAGTTTGAAAGCCTTCAAAACAGATCAGCCAGAAGACGCTTATGTGGAGCCGTCCAAGTGTTTCGTAAATTATGCTGAAGGTCATCCTTTAGCTCTTACGATCTTGGGATCATCTTTGTATAAAAGCAAGAAAGATGCCTGGAGTAGTGCACTGGATAAGTTAAAGAAAGCTCCCAATGCAACAATTTTCCGAACACTTAAAATAAGTTATGATGGCCTTGATGAGATGGAGAAGACAGTTTTTCTTGATGTTGCATGTTTCCATACTGGGAATGACAAGGCACTTAGCAATTGAAGTACTAGAAAATTGTGGATTTTGCGCTCGTATTGTGATAGATGTTCTCATTGAGAAATCTCCTTCAACTATTATGGATGGGTATGTGATGATGCATGATTTGACACAAGAAATGGGATGGGAAATTGTTTGACAAGAATCATTTGAAGAGCCCGGTCAACGTAGTAGGCTATGGCTTTATAAGGACATCTTCCATGTATTCATGAAGAATACGGTAAGTACGAGAAATACCACCATGGATAGCACCGTAGTTTATTTCAACATATATATATATATATATATATATATATATATATATATATATATATATAACTTGCCTTGGGAAATTAACTTTCCATATCTTCTTGTTTATTAGGGAACAGAAGCAATTGAAGGCATCGTCTTACGCTTGCCTGAATTAGAACAAGCTCAGTGGAATCCTGAAAGCTTCTCTAAGATAAGTAGACTAAAGTTTCTCCAACTTCATAATTTGAACCTTTCTGTTGGCCCCAAATATCTTTCCAATGCACTGAGAGTGCTTGATTGGAGTTGTTATCCTTCAAATTCCCTCCCACCAACTTTTCAACCAGACGAACTTTCTGAACTTTGTTTGCATCACGGTAAAATTGATCGACTTTGGAGTTGAATAAAGGTAAGAGACTTGATAAAAGCCATTATACACTTTTTTGTTCATTTGTGTTTTCAAGCTAATGGTTATGTCACCTTTTATGTTTTGTACAGCACATGTCCTGCTTGAAACATATCGATCTTAGTTACTCTCAAAACTTGACCGCAACCCCAGATTTTACAGGTGTTCAAAATCTTGAGAGGCTGGTGCTTGAATCTTGCACGAATTTAGTTGAGATTCACCTATCCATTACAGTTCTTAAAAGGCTGAAAGTTTGGAATTTTAGAAACTGTAATGGTCTTCGGGGTCTTCCCGTTGCGCTAGAAATGTAATCTCTCGAAGTTCTTATTCTTTCAGGCTGATCAAAACTGAAAAGGGTTCCTGGATTTGTGGGAAACATGAAAATGTTATCAACGCTTTCTTTAGAGGGGACTGGTGTTCAGGAAATACCTTCTTCAATTGATCATCTGATTGGGCTTATTTCGTTGGATCTCAAAGATTGTATAAGTCTGTTATGTCTTCCTACTGCCATCTGCAGTGTGAA